ATGATTATCTATATAATTAAATTTCTATAAAAATATTTATTTTAAAATTTGATATAATCTAATTTACAAAGAAAACTAATATTTTAAATTTCACTTAGTAAAAATAAGGAAAAATAATTTCAAAAATTCCTAATCCATATCTTAGTAATTTGAAGAAAAATAATCATTGATATATCTTAATATTTTAATTAAATTTGACCATGGGATAGGTCCGATTGGAAATAACACATAAAGCACTTGCAATTGATTCTCTCTTCCTCAAAGTTGTTTATGATAAAATAATAAATTAAAAAGAAGCTCATTGAACAAAATATAATTAACGAAACAATAAACATATTTAATACAAACGATGATGAATTAAAATATTCCTTTAAAAATTTAAAAAATATGAGAATTTATGATACAAATTTTGATATAATTCGATATTTTATGAAACGTGAAAATACTGACGTAAATATTTAAAAGAAGAGAGAGAGAAAGAAGTAATACAAATATTAAGACAATATTACAAATTTTATTGTGACTTTACATACACCAAAATGTTGAAGAATGCAGGTAAGAATTCTTATGATCACCCTGACAATCTACCGAAGACATTTCAATTAAACCAGATGAATCCAACTCTTGTATCAATCTCAGATGTTAACTCTGGTGTCGCCTCTCTACTGATGACAATGTCAGCTGGACTGCTTCTTGATCACCAAATCTTGATACACCATCAGCCAACCAGAAGTTTGATAAATATCACGTGATGTGAACTGACCCAACTGATTGGTTGAATTGATAGAAATCAGCATGACGCCAGGTGAGCTTCTTTTAGCCCCATCTTAATGTTCCTTTAGAAATTTGTTCCTCATATTTTTCTGCATTAAATTTATCTAACTATCACATATGCCGGGATAGTAGCAACTATCAAGATAGTAGAAACTCTAACTCAGCTCTGTTATATTTAAGGAAGGTAAGTTGCATAACTCAGTCAAGTGGACTTAAATTGAAATGGAGTACCATTATGATGACACAACACATTAAATAATCTTTAAAATGTAAAAACTTTGAGAAGTATGTATAGCAATTTAAGCTAGATATGAACATGACCTTTAGAAAATTATACCTAAAATAATAGTTTGCGAATATTAAAAACTCGGGGAAATTGTATTGAAGAAGATCAAAGAAAGGAATAAATGATAATTATATATTTATAACCTGGTTCTTGAGAGATTCACGGGAAGAGAGACCGCGTGGACAAAACGGCGAGAGTATTTGGACGACTTAAAACAACGAACTGGACTGCGACATACGAGATAAAGCGGGTGGAGGGAAATATGGATAGACCATGTGGCCCATTCTCAGTAGAGGAAGGCACTGAAGGAGAGAGATATGGAGAGACCATGTGGCCCACCCTAAGTAGAGGAAGGCACTGAAGGAGGGAGATATGAGAGATTACGTGGCCCACCCTCAGTAGAGAAAGGCACTGAAGGAGTGAGATACGGAGAGACTACGTGGCCCACCCTAAGTAGAGAAAGGCACTGAAGGAGGGAGATATGATGAGACCATGTGACCCATTCTCAGTAGAAGAAGGCACCGAAGAAAGTGGGGGAGGAAAACCTTAGCGAACCTTGCCTCAGACTAGGAACCTGGGATGTCCAACCATAGGGCATCTGAGTGGCCGTTTAAGATAGGATTTACTGTATAGCCAACAGAAGTAAAAAAATAAACAACAAACTAATTGTTCACAGAATTTATTTGACACAACTTTCAACTCCACGAAACAAATTATCGAAGACAAATATAGTTTTAAATTACCCAAGTAAATATTGGATTGGAATTGTGGAGAGGAGAGTTCCCCGCAATCAATCGGCTCTATTAAACTTCTAAATTGTGTTGACTTGGTCGAATTCCATTAATTGGTTTATTTTTCTTGCGAGCAAGAGCTGGATTGTTTGAATGTACCCAATAAAGATATCCAGTGAGGTCACCTGTGGGGGGAAGAAAAGAAAGGGACTACCAAAGTACTGAGAAAGTATTACCTCAAGAATAAAGAAAATATTACATATTTACATATCTACAAAAATATTTGAGCCGGCCTAAGGAAAAATACAACCATGGGTTTATATAGTGTAAAACCGCGCTATCTGGCAGTCGACTTTACAGAATTTGTTCTATAAAATATTATAACAAAGTATTTATTTTTTATTAGTAGAGTATTATTTTTATGTTTATATTTTGCTATACTCTGTACACTTCCTTCTTTTGCTTATCTTTTGTTTATCACTCATAGTTTTTTCTCGCCTAAAATAAATTGTTGTCTCATCCCGAAGTTGGTCTTCCCCTAATTTTCCACGTGGCAATATAATTCAAATTAAAATATAATTTTTTCTATAACATTGATATACGTTTTATATATTTTTTTATTTCCAATAAGATTGTTCTAGAGCAAATTCTGTAAAGTCTACTACCAGATAGCGCGGCTTTACACTTTATAAACCCATGGTTGTTGTTTTCCTTAGGCCGGCTCAAATATTTGTAAATATTTAAATACGTATTCAAGTTTTTATTTTCATTCTTCACACCTTAAGTCAGGTAATTCTTCCTCAATTATTTCATCAGATCAATTAGTGATTTAAAGTTATTTTTACCAAGATATCACGACTACAACCATTGCATAATCTTGTATTGAAAATAAGCAAATAATTTCTCTCTTAACAAAATATAAGAAATTTAAACTATTTTTAGACGCGTATATGATTATTTTTGGAATAAAACAATTTTATTAACACATAGCAATAACGCGCCATCTATACATATAAAATGAAAGGATTTAAAAGCACGAATGTTTCTTTTATACATAATACAAACTTCTACTGCCCTTACTGCGATGAAAAAATATGTATTGGGAGGGCTTGGCTCATCAGTGGTGAACCCTCCCAGCGGTTTCGCCAATTTAATCCACCAGACCGCTTCTCAGAGCTCTAATACTGTATTGGACGATTCTGCTTATATACGCAGCACTGAAGGGTGGAATCTCAGAAATGGTTTTCAAGAAAACTATGGACATAAGCTTATAGGACAGTTGAATTACATTCAAATATTTGCATCGAGCAATGCTCTTCCACAAACAATAAAGACAAGGTCAGTTAGACATAAATTAACACATAGCAATAACGCTCCATCTATACATATAAAATGAAAGAATTTAAAAGCAGGAATGTTTCTTTTATACATAATACAAACTTCTACTGCCCTCACTGCGATGAAAAAATATGTATTGGGAGGGCTTGGTTCATTTTCTACTGCCCTAATTTGAATATTGTTTTTTTTTTCATAAAGAATCATACACTTCAAAAATAGTTTAAATATCTTATAACAGATGGCGTGCTAATGCACCATATATATATATATATATATATATATATATATATATATCATATATAACATATATGTAATATTGTTGCAAATGTCGACGTATGGATAAACTGGCAGTCGTGTACGTGAGACGAGTGTTGATGTTCTTCCCACACGCGGACAACAAGAAACAGAGGCAGGGCTAGATGTTAGCACAGAGAGTGATCGGGGACAGCCCACGGGACAGAGGTAGAGGCCATGACACAAACTTGGATGCTTATCACCGAGCCATGGAGAGAGAGAGAGTGTGAGAGACAGGCTGAAGCGGACTGCCGACGGCCACATCCTAGAACATCTGCTGTGACGCCTGCCAAAAACTGTCCTGTTTTCAGGGGTCGACTATAAAGAGTCCCTGGGGGCCCCACATGGGCTTTGGCATTTTCCTCCCCAGCTGTCCCCAGCTGACCGCTCTTTGGACTTCTATTTTGACATCAACATTTTTAGTGTTATATACAAATAGGGGTTTACAGGTATTATCAACAAAGCATATATTATAGCATATATACAAAATATGGGGGTGGCAGAAAACAGAAACGGTGTACATTCCAAAAGAAGGGCAGGATCTTTTAAGGTATCGGCTCTAACTAATTGGAAGATATGTGACATATACTGAAAGTGTCATTATTATACAGTTTAAAATATACTATATATATATAAACGAATACAATAAAGCATCAAGGGCTGCGTGTCTTTATTAAAACGACAATTTACGAGCTTTCGAGCACATACGCCCTTCTACAGGAATTAATAACACACTAATAATAATCCAACCTAGTTTGAAATATAATTTATATACATATAGCTATTATTTTGCATATAATAGCTATATGTATATAAATTATATTTCAAACTAGGTTGGATTATTATTAGTGTGTTATTAATTCCTGTAGAAGGGCGTATGTGCTCGAAAGCTCGTAAATTGTCGTTTTAATAAAGACACGCAGCCCTTGATGCTTTATTGTATTCGTTTATAAATTGTACAGGGTTTTTTCATTCTATATATATATATATATATATTGTTTAAAAAAAATATTCTCTGCTGATTTTGAATATTATTGAGATAATCTTTTATTTGCTTGTAGAGGAATTATCGGCCATTTGCCATGAGAATGTGACACTGCAGTCGTGGAAAAAAATAATAAATATAGTTTAGATCAGAATTAGCTTTAATTGAGCTTAAGGAATATATAAAAACAGAAATTGATAAAGTACTGCCTGACTTAAGGCGTGTAGAATGAAAAAAAAAAGACCTATTTACATAATTACAAAAGGTTTGAGCCAGCCAACGGTAAACAACAACAATAGGTTATATAAAGGAAAGTCGCGACATCTGGTGGTAGACTTAACAGAATAGTTTAATCTATGAAATATAATTTGAAATAAAATAATATTTTTATATAAAATATAGCATATATAATACAATATAATATAATGCGGTTTGTGATTGTAAAACGACATTTTAAAATTATACCGCATGTGTTTCTTTTCAACGAGAAATCCAAATTTATTTTAAGGAGAAATAATGATTATTTCTAACCTTAGAGATGAAGTATGAAAAGATGAATTGTGAAGAGTAATGATAAACGGAAAAATAAAAGTGTCCAAGGTTGGTAATCGAACCCACAGTGTTCCGCTTACCGGGCAGATGCCATGTCCACTAGGCTACCCTGGACATATTTTTCCGTTCGTAAATAATACATAAAGTAATTTATAATACAATATAATATAATATATAGCACATACATAGGAAATATTGAGAAAAAGTAAGTTGCTTACAATTGTTTCAAGCACGTAAACCGCCTAATGTTCCAGTTTCTAACTATCGAGGATTTTATTTCTAAACATTTCCATCATTGATATAATAATATCCCGAGGTATGTGGAAAAGTGTTCCAAGAAAAGTTTAATTCGGTTTAAAGGCAACATTGTTGAGATAATGGAGATTTTGAATCATTAGGACGTTGCATGCATCCACTTGCCATCATTTACAGTACCATAAATCATTCTGTTGGCAGCTTTAAAAATTTGTTTGATAATGGCTCCGCACTTTTTGTGAAAGATAAAACTGTGTGTACGATTGAATACAAGATTTCATATGTTAACAGATATTTTGATTCATAACATTATTGAGACTTTTAGCTGTGTTTTATCTGTATTCAGATTGAAATAGCAATGAGTGAAAAAAAATCATAGTTATATGGGGAATAGGTAGGGTGTAGGGATACTAACCACATGTAAAATTTGCCCATGTGGAATTGTCTATAATCGAAATGTATATTAATCTAAAAATATATCAGTGACAATATTATTCAAATAATATAAAATATATATTTAGTAAAATTGTTAAAGATCGTTAGTTTTAGTTCAATATTAAAAAAAAACAAGTTTTGATATAAAAAAGAATTAAAAATAAAAACTGATTCTAAACCCACATGCATATAGAATTAATATTATTTTGATATACAGTGTACTCCGCTTATAACGAAGTCGCATTATCCATGACAATCACTTTGTTATATCCGAAGTTTGTTATATCCGCAGTTGGAAAAAAAACATGTTTTGTACCAATAATTTTATTTACTATTCAACTCAAAAGAGCAACACAAAGATCAATAACAACCTCATCAGGTGTTTTTGGAGAAGTAGTTTGTGATTTTCTTTTGACATTTAGAAGTCAGTAACAAGTGCTGAACACTCTTTTCGATGTTGTCCAAGTCTGACAGATGCCTATGAAGAGACTTGGACTCATCCTGACATTGAAGAAACAATCGCAGAGTTTGAATGCTCTCCAAGACCTCTTTTGGATGCGGAATGTGGACAATTGGGTCTACTTCTTCATCAACTTGGTCCGTTTCTTCTTCTTCTTTTGCTTGAAGAATGCTCTCGACAATTTCTACATCGGATAACATGGCATTTGTAACGACGTCATTGTCAGCGTCAGCATAAGAATCGAAATCCATCTCTAACGGTATTTTTAAAACTTCTTTCATGCGATCGAAGAGGCTTTGTTGCTCCCACATTTGTGTTGCAGGCTGTGGTGTATCCAATGGAGAACTGACATCGGACTTAATAATTCCACTATGATGCCAACAGTTGGAAATTGTCGCTGGAAGCACATCATTCCATGCTACAGATATAATATCCACAGCTTGCTTAAGATTGATTGTTAATGCTGTTCCAGCATCGTATGCCGTCAAATATTTCCTCATTAAACGCGTTCGATAAATCATCTTGAAATTGCGAATAATGCCTTGGTCGCATGGTTGCAGCATTGAAGTGGTATTTGGCGGCAAGAATGCTATACGAGTATTTGTGAGGCCCTGCATGTCTGGGGGATGAGCGCCGCAATTGTCAAGCAGGAGGATAATTTGTCGATGTTGTCCAGCCATCTTCTTGTCGATGTGCCGAACCCAGGATTCGAAGAGTAGTCCAGTCATCCAGGCCTTCTGATTTGCTTCGTACTGAACAGGAAGGTGCTTGATTCCTCGGAAGCATCTCGGCTGTTTCGCCTTTCCAATGACCAAAGGTTGCATCTTTTCAGAACCATCCATATTGCAGCATAGAAGGATTGTGATCCGTTCCTTACTAGCCTTTCCGCCGGTGCAAGTTTCTCCCTTAAAGTGAAGTGTCTTGTCAGGAAGAAGACGCCAGAAGAGACCGGTTTCATCGGCGTTGAAGATGTCTTTGCAAGCATAGTTACTAATTATATTAGGCATTACATCGGTCAACCAGTTCGTCATTGTCTCACGATTGACATCAGCTGATTCTCCACAAATGTTGCGCAGCTTGATGCCATGCCTTGCCTTCCAACGCTCGATCCATCCACCACTCCCAGTAAAATCCTTTAATCCAAATTCAAGAGCCAGGGTCTTCGCCTTTTCGGAAAGCAATGGACCATTAACTGGAAGCGCTGCACTTCTTGCCTGCTTGAACCACTGCAGCAGAGCCTCATCAACATCAGCATATGTAGATCCACGTGCTCGTTTCCTACTGCTTTCTCCCGCATGCAGAGCTTGTTGGTGGATCTTCTCAGAGTTCTTTATTATGGTGCTGAGCGACGACTGTGGGATATTATGTTTCTGGGCAACATCTGTCTTTTTCTTCTTCTCCACTTCAATCTCTCTTAGGATTTGCAGCTTGACTGACAGAGATGGTGAGTTTCTTGTTTGTTTTCGTTCTCCTGCCATGGTAAACGTTAATAAAATATAAGCGTTTATTAAACAATTTAATTTTGTTTAAATAATGTAAAAAAAAATACTTATAATATGTTTGCATATTTTAAAATTGTATATTATTAACTTATTTGTTGTGTATCATTAAATTTGTGTCATTCACACGTTGTAATTTGATATATATTATGCATAATATATTAGTCAATTATAATGGTAAATGAGAAAACTTCGTTATAAACGGATAAAATAAAAATTTATACATGCAAATCACTTCGTTATAAGCGAAAATTCTTTATATCCGACTTCGCAATATCCAGAGTTCTTTTAATGGTTTAAGCCCTTCTTTTCTTTCGTGCAGACAATTTCATTCGCTATATGCGGAATTTCGCTATAACCGACTTTGTTATAAGCGGAGTACACTGTATATCATAAGCATAGGTTAGAGAAAGAGAGTAGAAAAACCTGGATTCAACAAAAAAAAAGAAAGATAAAATATTAACACAAAGCAATAACGCGCCATCTATACATATAAAATAAAAGGATTTAAAAGCGCGAATGTTTCTTTTAAACATAAAACGAACTTCTACTGTCCTTACTGCGATGAAAAAATATATTGGGAGGGCTTGGCTCATCAGTGGTGAACCCTCCCAGCGGTTTCGCCAATTTAATCCACCAGACCGCTTCTCAGAGCTCCAATACTGTATTGGATATGTTTACAACTATATTTGAATTTTAAAAAATATTGCATTCCATAAAGTGTAGGCGTTTAATGATATATCTTGGATCAATCTATACGGAATTTTTATTTTAATATTTCGATAGAAGTGCGCTTGCCTTTATCAGTTGAAATGTTTCATTTCTGGACAAAGTCTTCATTCTCGTGTTGAAGATGATCGCGATTCCCATATCGAAATATTCAAGTAAATTTCGTATAGATCCACAAGATACGCTTCTCTTTTTAATTTAATATATAGTTGTGTGATATTGCCATCAATATATCAGTGCTATTTATTTTATATTTTGATGGAAACATTTATATAGCTACTATATGGAAGATGGTGGAAATGGTAATGAAATCCCTATCGCAGCCAATCATTTTATTAATTGAGAGTTCATCATTGACGAGCCAAGCTCTCCAAATTTATTTCATCTTCTGTTGAGAGTGGCTATAATGTCTTCCAAAGGGGAAATTCAATAGTATTTCCTATAAATTAATTTTATTCAAAATATAATTTATTTACCTGGTGAGAAACTATAAAATACAGTAAGACCTGTCTATAGCGCCTCCTCTTGGGACTCGCCAAAATAGGGTGCTATAGAGAGGGGGTGCTATAGACAGATCACTTTTAATGTAAATCGCATCGTACTATGTATTTAAAATCGGGCGCTATAGAGAGGAAGGCACTTGTTGGGAATGAAGTAAAGATAGAGAAAAAAAAAAAAGAAAAGTATGAATAACCAAAATACCAATTTAAATAGATAGTTTTTGTGTCTATCTATTGTAGCGATAGGCAGGTGGTATTCCTGAGGGAAATGAACGACAGGGTTTGGTGATCTCAAATATAATGGGCTTTATTCAACTATGATGAATGATACACAAAATTAAACTTATCTCGGTTGGAGCAAGTATCTGGCTATTCTGCCAATCACCCCTTTGCCAACCTTAGCTTTTTCCCTTTCTTCAATTTCAACAAGGCTTTTTTCAACTTGAGCTCTTTCACTTTCTTCAACTTCTAAAGGCTTTTTCTCAACTTGAGCTCTTTCACTTTCTTCAACTTCTACCAGAGGCTTCCCATACATTTCTTTATCCTTCTATTCTTCTGAGCACGAGTATTCCATCTCCTAGGCTCTAATATCTTCCACAACCAGATTCTTATCAATCCCCTGCTAATCTCACCAATTCTGCTAATCCCCACGCACCGGCCACCCCGCCGTGCCTTCTATACATTCCTTTCCAGCTCAAAGTCTAACCTGATTGGTTCTCGTGATCCGCGGATGATATTATACAAATGATCTTATGCTAATTACATTATGTAAATTATCTATTTTTAACAGCGCTATTTAGAGGGGGCGTTATAGACAGGTTTAACTGTAAAAACATAACATTTCAATTCAAAGAATAGAAAAAAAAATTGGTGAATAGTGTCATGAATAAAAAATGTATTTATGCAACTCTCAATTTCTTAAGACAATGGGGTAATCTCCCTATTTGCTTATTATAAGAAAACTAACAAGACGGGAGAAGTTTCTTACATTTATAATTCTTGTGTTAATATTATAATCCCTTCGGTATAAAATTATAATACAATATATATATATACACTGCGGCCTGTGATTGCAAAACGACACTTGAAGTTACACCGCACGAGTTTCTTTTCAATCAAAAATCAAAATTTTATTTCAAGGTGAAATATTGACTATTTCTAACTTTTTTTTGGATGAGGTCTGAAAGGGTGAATTATGAAGAGTAATGATGAACGGAAAAATAAAAGTGTCCAAGGA